TCGTCACTCCCCGTCACTCTCCGTCGCTCCCCTTCGCTCCCCGTTCATTCTCCGTCACTCTGCGTCACTCTTCATCAGGCATCGTCTACCTCCGTCACTCTCCGTCGCTCCCCGTCGCTCCCCGTTCATTCTCCGTCACTCTCCGTCACTCTTCGTGAGGCATCGTCTAACTTCGTCTAACTTCGTCACTCTCCGTCGCTCCCCGTTCATTCTCCGTCACTCTCTGTCAGGCATCGTCTACCTTCGTCACTCCCCGTCACTCCCTCGCTCCCCGTTCATTCTCCGTCACTCTGCGTCACTCTTCATCAGGCATCGTCTACCTCCTTCACTCTCCGTCGCTCCCCGTCACTTTCGTCACTCTGTCAGGCATCGTCTACCTTCGTCACTCCCCGTCACTCTCCCTCGCTCCCCGTCGCTCCCCTTCACTCCTCGTAGCTCCCCGTCGCTCTCCGTTCATTCTCCGTCACTCTCCGTCGCTCCCCGTCACTCTCCGTCACTCTCAGGCACTCCGCGTCGCTCCCCTTCGCTCCCCGTCGCTCTCCGTTCATTCTCCGTCACTCTCCGTCAGGCATCGTCTACCCTCGTCGCTCTCCGTCGCTCCCCGTCACTCTCCCTCAGGCATCGTCTACCTTCGTCACTCTCCGTCACTCTCCGTTCATTCTCTGTCACTCTCCGTCACTCTCCGTCAGGCATCGTCTACCTTCGTCACTCCCCGTCACTCTCCCTCGCTCTCCGTCGCTCCCCTTCACTCCTCGTAGCTCCCCGTCGCTCTCCGTTCATTCTCCGTCACTCTCCCTCAGGCATCGTCTACCTTCGTCACTCTCCGTTCATTCTCTGTCACTCTCCGTCACTCTCCGTCAGGCATCGTCTACCTTCGTCACTCCCCGTCACTCTCCGTCGCTCCCCGTCACTCTCCGTCGCTCCCCGTCGCTCCCCGTTCATTCTCCGTCATTCTCCGTCACTCTTCGTGAGGCATCGTCTAACTTCGTCTAACTTCGTCATTCTCCGTCACTCTTCGTCAGGCATCGTCTAACTTCGTCACTCCCCCTCGCTCTCCGTCGCTCTCCGTCAGGCATCGTCTACCTTCGTCACTCTCCGTCGCTCTCCGTCGCTCTCCTTCACTCTCCGTTCATTCTCCGTCACTCTCCGTTCATTCTCCGTCACTCTCCGTCAGGCATCGTCTACCTTCGTCACTCTCCGTCGCTCTCCGTCACTCTCCGGCTGCTCCCTTCCCCGCACGCCGGCTGCAGAAAGCCTCATGGCCTTTGCCTGCTGTATCCCTTCTCCGTCCCTCTCCGGTGCTGCTGTCTCTGTGAGTCCCGTGACTCTGTCTTCCTCCCTTCGCTTCTGGGAGAGTGGCCTGAGCCCTCCCGAGACGCCTCTCCCCGCTACCCGGCCTGACGGATGGTGAGGAGCGGGGGTCTGGGGGTGGTCCCGTGGGGAGGAGCGGGGGTCTGGGGGTGGTCCCGAGGGGAGAAGCGGGGGGTCTGGGGGTGGTCCCGAGGGGAGGAGCTGGGGGTCTGGGGGTGGTCCCGAGGGGAGAAGCGGGGGTCTGGGGGTGGTCCCGAGGGGAGGAGCTGGGGGTCTGGGGGTGGTCCCGAGGGGAGGAGCTGGGGGTCTGGGGGTGGTCCCGAGGGGAGGAGCAGGGAGTCTGGGGGTGGTCCCGAGGGGAGAAGCGGGGGGTCTGGGGGTGGTCCCGAGGGGAGGAGCGGGGGGTCTGGGGGTGGTCCCGAGGGGAGAAGCGGGGGGTCTGGGGGTGGTCCCGTGGGGAGAAGCGGGGATCTGGGGGTGGTCCCGAGGGGAGGAGCAGGGAGTCTGGGGGTGGTCCCGAGGGGAGGAGCTGGGGGTCTGGGGGTGGTCCCGAGGGGAGAAGCGGGGGGTCTGGGGGTGGTCCCATGGGGAGGAGCGGGGGTCTGGGGGTGGTCCCGAGGGGGGAGCTGGGGGTCTGGGGGTGGTCCCGAGGGGAGAAGCGGGGGTCTGGGGGTGGTCACGAGGGGAGGAGCTGGGGGTCTGGGGTGGTCCCGAGGGGGGAGCTGGGGTCTGGGGGTGGTCCCGAGGGGAGAAGCTGGGGGTCTGGGGGTGGTCACGAGGGGAGGAGCTGGGGGTCTGGGGGTGGTCCCGAGGGGGGGAGCTGGGGGTCTGGGGGTGGTCCCGAGGGGAGGAGCAGGGAGTCTGGGGGTGGTCCCGAGGGGAGGAGCTGGGGGTCTGGGGGTGGTCACGAGGGGAGGAGCTGGGGGTCTGGGGGTGGTCCCGAGGGGGGGAGCTGGGGGTCTGGGGGTGGTCCCGAGGGAGGAGCAGGGAGTCTGGGGGTGGTCCCGAGGGGAGGAGCTGGGGGTCTGGGGTGGTCCGAGGGGAGGAGCAGGGAGTCTGGGGGTGGTCCCGAGGGGAGGAGCTGGGGGTCTGGGGTGGTCCCGAGGGGAGAAGCGGGGATCTGGGGGTGGTCCCGAGGGGAGGAGCTGGGGGTCTGGGGGTGGTCCCGAGGGGAGGAGCTGGGCGTCTGGGGGTGGTCCCGAGGGGAGAAGCAGGGATCTGGGGGTGGTCCCGAGGGGATGAGCTGGGGGTCTGGGGGTGGTCCCGAGGGGAGGAGCTGGGGGTCTGGGGGTGGCCCCGAGCGGAGGAGCTGGGGGTCTGGGGGTGGTCCCGAGGGGAGGAGCGGGGGTGTGGGGGTGGCTCCGAGCGGAGGAGCGGGGGTCTGGGGATGGTCCCGAGCGGAGGAGCGGGGGTCTGGGTGTGCTTTGCATGGGGTCTCCCTGTGGTCCGGAGGGTGGAGCAGGGGGTCTGGGGCTGGTACTTATGAGAGGGACAGGGCTGTTTCTGTTTTTGGTCCGTTTCCCATCTGTCCTCGTGATCCGGACAGGTGGGGCATAATGGGAGGGTCAAGGTGAGGGGAAGGAAGGCGTGGCGGCCTGGTCCCGAGGGGCAGGAAAGGGGTTCGTGGTGCGGTTCTGACGTGTGACCCCATCCACAGGAGAATGGACACCTCAGACTCTCCCATCCCTGGCCATTGGCGTGGCCCAGGAACTGCCTTCCCTGGCTGTGCTCGAGGCTCACTGGAGGGAACTTCGTTTTCATTGTGGGAAATTTTTAAAAAGTCTCTTACAGATTTCAGTGAGTTCAAAGCCGCCCGTGCGCAGACGTAGGTCCGTTCTTCGCCTAGCCTCACTCTAGCCTGCCGAAAGGAAATGGTAATAGAGCTGGAAAAGGTGTCCTGGGGTTGATTAGAGGATTTTCCGTTTCATCTTGGAAAGGGATATTGACGGGAGGCCAGAACTTCTAGATCCTCTTCAATTTCAAGAAATACTTTAAAGCCTGGACAATATCGGGAGGCCTTATCTCTACAAAATAAAAATGGAAAAATCAGCTGGGTGCGATGGCACACTCCTGTGGTCCCACCTTCTCCGGAGGATGAGGTGGGAAGATCACGAGCTTGGGAGGCCGAGGCTGCAGTTAGCTGTGATCGTGCCAGTGTACTGCAGCCTGGGTGACAGAGCAAGACGCTGAAAAAAAAAAAAGAAGGGAAGGAGGGAGGGAGGGAGAGAGGAAGGAAGGAAGTAAACAAATGGCTCAGGCTCAGAGAGCTGTGTGTGGCCCCCAGCTCCCACCCCCACCAAAGGGCCTGCAAACCCACAGGGGGCAGGTTGTCTTTAGCTGGAACCACAGGGACGGGGGGCCCTGAACTGTAGGGGTTGGGGTTAGGGTTAGGCTTTGAGGTTTGGGGTTATAGAATATAGATGGGTTTGGTCCTGGGAAAATTCCAGGTCTGGGTTTTGTGGTCGGGGGTTGGTCTCCGGTGAGATGCGACATGTTTACAGGGTTTGTGAGGTACGTACAGATGTGTACGGTGCTGTTGTTGGAATGTGTTCTCCAGATTTCATGTGTTGGCAATTTTGTGTTCTTTTTTTTTTTTGAGATGGTGTCTCGCCCTGGCATCTGTCACCCAGGCTGGAGTGCAATAGCGTGATCTCGGCTCACTGCAGCCTCTGCCTCCCAGGTTCAAGCCATTCTCGTACCTCAGCCTCCCAGTGGCTGGCATTGTAGCAGGACAAGCCAGAGACAAAATTCCTCAGACACCAGGTTAAAGAAGGAAGGGCTGTATTCGGCCAGGAGCACTGACAGACTTGCATCTTAAGAGCTGAGCTCCCCAAAAAGGAAATTCCTGGTGCTTTTAAGGGCTTACGACTCTAAGGGGTTCACGTGAAAGCATTGTGATAGCTTAAGCAAGTGCGGGGAACGTGACGGGGGGCTGCATGCATCAGATAACAGACCAGAGAGTTTTACGGTGCTTCCTCATACGATGTCTGGAATTTACAGATAACACAAGTAGGTTAGGTCAGGGGTTAATATTATTATTATTATTTTCAACCACCAGGGCTGGGTGGTGGCCTCATGTTCGTTTAGCTATTTATCTTACTTCTGTATTTTTTTTTAAACGTTTTGCTTTCTCCCTTTTTCCTTGTTTTATAAACTAGGAAAGTGGGGGTGGGGAAGGGCAGGGCAGCAGGAGAACTGGTGGTCTCCTTCCTGAGGACTACAGGCACCAGTCTCATTCCTGGCTATTTATTTATTTTTGTATTTTTAGTGGAGATGGGGTTTCACCATGTTGGCCAGGCTGGTCTTGAACTCCTGACCTCAGGTGATCACCCTTCCTCGGTCTCTCAAAGTGCTGGGATTAAAGGGACGAGCCACCGGGCCTGGCCATGTGTTGGCAACTTAATCCCCAAATTCACGTGCTGATTGGAGATGTGGCCTTTGGGAGATACTTAGGATTACATACGGTCATTAGGGTGGGTCCCCAGTATTGGGACTGGTGGCTTTATGAGACAAGGAAGAGAGACTGGAGTGGACACACACACTGTCGCCCTCCCCTCCCCCGCCATGAGTGGACACGCTCTCCCTCCTCTTCCCCGCCCGCACACTCTCGCCCTCCCTCCATGGTGGACACGCCGTCTCGACCACAGGCGCCCCACTGGGATGCTCTGGTCCTTCCCAGCCGCTAGAACTGGAAGAAATACGTTTGGTTTATGATCTGCTCTGTGGTATTCTGTTACAGCAACAGAAAATGGACTAAGACACATGGTTTATAGGTTTTGGGTTTGGGGTTTTTAGGGTGTGGGTAGGAGTACCAGGCAGGGGTTAGGGAATAGGGTTAGTGTCAGTTTTAGGGTTGGGGGGAGGCAAAAGAGGCCACGGTCAGAATCAGAGCCAAGACTGGCTCAGAGCTTAGTATCCGGAGCCACCTCGTTGTAGCCTCCGTCGCCTCCTCCAATCTCAAACAATTCCACAGCTTCGAAAACCGCAAGTAAGGGCTTCCTGGAACGTGTCCACTGTAACCACCAGGTTTTCCAGTATGTTGTTTACACCCTGTAACCCTGTTACCTAGAACACTTCCCAGCAATCTTTAAGTTCTTCACCAGCACTCTGAGTACATCCAAAAGGCCAAGATGCTTCTTCAGGGGCGAATGTCACTGCTTTTTACAGAAGAACGCAAAAGGCAGGTTTGCAACTCTAAGTCTTTCTGCAAATGATGAAGCGTGTTACCTACTTCACTCGTTGCTGTGATGCATTTTCAGTTCTAGGTTCTCTTGGTTTTTGTTGTTGTTTTTTCTGTGTGAACTCGACATCACTCACTCACTCTGAACGACAGAATAAAAGACATTGGTCATCATATCATATTTGGAAGGACAATCACAGCCATGAGACACAAAGCACTCGCAGCCCTGGGCCCAGGCCCGTCACACGCAGCTGTCACGGCCTGAATGGTCCTGAATGGGCCGTGCGCACCGCGGGGCCCCCACGCCAGGAGACCCCAAACTGCACCCGAACAGGCTTAAGCTGAGTGTGGCCTCCATGCCCGGGTTTGCCCTGATGCCCTGAGCCCACGTGGTGTACGGCCAACTCCTCTTTCTCCGCCCCTGACTGGCCCTTGCTTTGCAGACACGCTTGTCTGCGTAGGGCCTGGTCTTCGTTCTGTGGGAAGGACTGACTTGCAGGAGAGGACCGGCAGGAGGAGGAGCAGAGCGGGGCACCCGTCTGCCCTGCCCAGCCCCTCTGGTGGCCTCGGGCGCTGCACACTGACTTCGCAAACCCCCGCTCTGCTTCTGGGCTGCAGGCAGGTAACAATGAGGTCTCCAAGCTACTGCCCCGACTGAGCCTCTCAGCCACCCCTCCTGTCCCGTGACGGCCCTTCCCTCTCCAGCCCTGGCCTCCCGATTGTTCCTCCTGGAGCCAGAGTTGTAGTTGAACATTTGGGTGGGGGTGGCGACCTGCCCAGGAGCATACCCCAGTCAGGTGGGGCAGCCTCAGACACAGCCCCCAGCCCCCTGTCGCCATAGACCCAGTTTCCAGGCACTCAGGGCACAGGGGCCCGAGAACCCATAGCTGGGGAAAGGTCCCTCATGACGGGGCTCAGCTCCATCCCCAAACTACAGCCCCACCCTGGGGTGTCTGTGGTGATGGCAAACCAACCACAGATTTTGGGGGTACGACTGCTCACTTTGCCATGATATCTCCTCCCACGTGCCCCCGACCTGGTGAGCAGACTGGTGGAGAGGGGAGGCCTGAGTCCTAGGGGTGGGTGGGCTGCAGGCAGAGCTGGGGCTGGATGGACGGTGAGTGGTGAGATCTCAAGATACAGAAGGGGCTCCTGCCAGGCACTGGGTCAACAGGGACCAGGGCGACACAGACGGGACTCCCTAGCTGAGAAAGACCTTTGTCTACAAAATGTTGGCACCAGGACCTAACAATGAAAACAATAAGATAAATAACAGTACAAAAAGGCAATCAGCAGAGCAGCTCAAGGCACTGGAACAAGGACTTGTGTGACCCAGAGACAGCAGATCTCAAAGATAGAAGATGCAGGTCCCCAAATCCCCACAGGGGAACTGGGTTTCAGACCAGAAACTCACGTAGGGGGCTGTCCCGGGTCCCTAAAGCCCCACATGTGATAGCAGCTTCTGTTACTTAAGCCACACATCCTCCTTCTCTTCCCACAAGATCAGAACTTCCTGGGGGTTGAGGAGCCTCACACCCATCTCAGATTCCCTCTCCCTACTCCTCCCACCCAGGTGTCCTCACAGGACTGGGCTCTGAGCAGAAGGCTGGGTGGGACCCTGGGGGAGGATCCGGAAGGAGGCAGTTCTTCCTGGTCCAGGTGTGGGGCCTGCCTGTGGATGGCTGGAGCCCGTTGTTTTGGGCAGGAGGTGGCTGCAGGGCGGAGGCTGCTGGAGGGAGGGCTGGGGGCAGAACGTCGGAGGCAGGGCCCGAGATGGGCTCACTCACCGGCTGTGGCCATCGTGCTTTGGCGTGTGTGGCTCCTCTGCCTCCTATCTTGAGCTCCTGTTGTGTTGGGTTAGGGTCAGGGTCAGGGTCAGGATCGGGGTTAGGGGTTACGGTCAGGGTCGGGGTCAGGGGTTAAGGGTTAGGGTCGGGGTTAAGGGTCAGGGTCGAAGTTAGGGTCAGGGTCAGGATCGGGGTTAGGGGTTATGGTCAGGGTCGGGGTCAGGGGTTAAGGGTCAGGGTCGGGGTTAGGGTCAGGGTCGGGGTTAGGGTTGCTAGGGTCAGGTTGGGGGTTCGGTTAGGGTTGGGGTCAGGGTCAGGGTCGGGGCCGGGGTCGGGGTCAGGGCCAGGGCCAGGGTCAGGGCCAGGGCCAGGGCCAGGGTCAGGGTCAGGGTCTGGGTCAGGGTTAGGGTTAGGGTTGGGACAGGGCGTCATCCCTCAGCTCACCTGAGACAAACACCTATATGATTGCTTCCTCTGCCCTGTGTAAAATGCAGCTTCACTGAGCCACACTAAGGAGTAAGTCACTATTCCTCTACCCCCACTCACAAGTCAATTGTGTATTCACCGAAAGGCTTATGAAAGACTCAAAACAAGGCCGGGCGCGGTGGCTCACGCTTGTAATCCCAGCACTTTGGGAGGCCGAGGCGGGCGGATCACAAGGTCAGGAGATCGAGACCACGGTGAAACCCCGCCTCTACTAAAAATACAAAAAAATTAGCCGGGCGCGGTGGCGGGCGCCTGTAGTCCCAGCTACTCAGGAGGCTGCGGCAGGAGAGATTGGGTCTCAAAAAAAAAAAAAAAAAAAAAAAAAAAAGACTCAAAACAATGCAATCCTTTGTCTCTTGTCCACCTATATGCTGGAAGGCCCCCACCTGCCTTTCCAGATGGAACCAATGTACACCTTACAGCTACTGACTGATGTCTTATGTCTCCTTAAAATGTACAAAAATGTATAAAAGCAAGCTGCGCCCCAAGTACCTGGGGCACATGCTGTCAGGATCTCCTGAGGCTGTCACAGCACGTCCTTAACCCTGGGAAAGTAAACTTTCTAAAAGGATTGAGACCTGTCTCAGATACGTTGGGTTCATACTATCAGTTGTGAACTCCAAGTATATCAACACCTGTCGATGGGTTCAGTGAGGGGCCTACTGTGTGTGACTTCAGTGGGGACTGGAACTGCATCTGTGACGACTTCCTGCCCCACGGTGCCCCTCCAAAACAGGAAAGTGAGCGCACACCTACTCCATATACACAGGTAGTTCTGCCGCTGGCGAGACCGCAGCATCCTCTCCACCCACTGCCTGTGTCTCGGCTCCGAGGCAATGGTGACCTGACCAGACACGTGGTGACACTGCTTGCTGATGCTTTGGAGCACAACCAGCACTTCCAGCACAATCCTGGGGCAGAAGAGGGTAGGAAAGGGTGTGCTGCAGAGCTCACGGAGCAGCTGGGGCCACCTGCAAACAGAGCCAGACTTGGAGCAGGCATCATGATCCCCACCTGTACCTCACTCTCCTGTACCTGCAAGGCTGCGGCTTTCTGGGAGCCAGGGCTAGCTGCGTATCACTGGTGGGTCTGCAGGGACAACCGTGACATACGGCAAGTGTTAATTAAATACACTGAATTGTGGCAAACAGAATGTGACATTCACAGCCTCATCAGATGTGCCACGCTTGCACAGAGATTGTCAAAACTGATCTCATAATTCCTCTTGGAGTAGTAACAGTGGGATTCTAAGACTACTTTATAAAATCTAAAACAGGCCGGGCGCGGTGGCTCAAGCCTGTAATCCCAGCACTTTGGGAGGCCGAGACGGGCGGATCACTAGGTCAGGAGATCGAGACCATCCTGGCGAACACGGTGAAACCCCGTCTCTACTAAAAATACAAAAAACTAGCCGGGCGAGGCGGCGGGCGCCTGTAGTCCTAGCTACTTGGGAGGCTGAGGCAGGAGAATGGCGTAAACCCGGGGGGCGGAGCTTGCAGTGAGCTGAGATCCGGCCACTGCACTCTAGCCCGGGCGACAAAGCCCGACTCCGTCTAAAAAAAAAAAAAAAAAAAAATCTAAAACATAGAAAATGTCTAAGTTTGCTATGCTAATCTGCAGAATCAATGTTTCAACAGTTGTCAGGATGTCCTGGAACTTACGTCTCAGTAGGAAGATGATCCAAGTCCTTTAAAACACAATGATTCTCAGGCACATGGTGATACAGCTCATCCGTCATTTTTGTAATTAAAGAGTGGCTGGCATTTGTTTCAGAATTATCTTCTAATCTGAAAAATAGAAAATATTTAAAGATACATGACAATTAAAATGCCCACATTAGTGCCCATGCACAATAATGGTTAATGGTTCACTGAGCAGCAACCTGACTGTGAATCTTCGTTTCCCCAAATATAAAATGTAAAAAGCCACCATCACGGGACAGTGGAGAAAGAAACGATGCCCTATGCCAAAAGCAAAGTCCAATGATGACTGATGACGAGACGACGAACCACCTGCGTATTCCTCCTGCTGAACAAGTATGTCTGCTGTTGTCTACAATTCCAGAATGCATGCCTCCATCCCCACTTCTCTCCTGAGCTTCAGACCCATCTTTCTTTCTGCCTACTCAGTAGTTCTCATGGACGCCATTGTCTACCCACAAAACCTGCCCCTCGTTCCATGTTCAGTCTCCACCAGGGCCCCAGGCCAGCTGGAAGATCGCATTCAGCATCACTTGCAGCTCCTCACAGCCGCCAAGGCCCAGAAATTCCTCCTTCCCCTTTTATCTTCCAACAGCCTCGCTAAAGAAGAAATGCTGCTGAAACTAACAGTACCAGACAAGCTTGATGTCAGCCAGGCCCCAGGATGCCACGTACCTGACTGCTTCCCAAGTGAGTTCTTTGGGGAAAGGCAGCAGAGCCCAAACCCTGATACTCTCCTCACAGCTCAGCACCTGGGATGAAATGTTTTATTGACTTTGTAGATTTCACGGTAACTTCCTAGAAAATCTGTTTTTAGATTGTTATGGATGTTACATCACTCTCTAGAAAATACGTATCTATAAAATTATTACAAATTCTAAACATTTTAAAACCAGAGGGCGGGTGTCAGTTCTTCAGTACAGATGGGGGAAGGCTGGGGAAACCACCAGGGGATTGGTAGGGAGTGAACGTCTGGGGTGGCTATGACCATATCCACAGGTTCTTTCGACACCTGCCATTGAGAGGGAGGACCCCACCAAATCTGCACGAGCTCTGGTGACTGGCCTGGAACCAGCAGAACACAGCACGTGTGAAGATCCTGCACGTTATGCAAAGCCATGTCAGAGGGGCAGGTGCCTTTCCAGTTCAGGCCGCGCTCGGGGTGCAGCCGCTGTCACCTTGAGACTGTCCCTGCAGGACCCCCATGAGGCCTCTGGCCAACTTCCAGTCTTCTCAGACGCAACATCCACGAAGCCCTGGGGGACCACAGCCTCCACACCCAGGCCAGGCCACAGGACAGATCCTCGGCAGATGCTCCCCATTTCTAACCCACTAGCACATGAGCAAGTCAAACGTGGCTGCTGACACCACGGAGCGTGAGTAGTCTCAACAGCAGGAATAACCGAAGCCCAGGATGCAAAGCTGCCTGAATACCTGTGAGATGCCAGGAGGGGGACAGGAAGTGGTAAGGACCCAAATAGCCACTGTGGGGCACAGGAGAGGATGGTCTGGAGCCTCAGCAGCTCTGGTTGGAAGACAAAGGCTGCCTTCTTGAAGCTCCTCTTCCTTCCTAAATCTTCCCTCCTCCCTACCTGCCCACCTCTACCTTCCTAAGGGCTTGCACTTGGAAAGCACGGCCATCCCCACTGGTAAAGCTGATCTACGGCGCCAACGGGGAATGGCATCCGACCAGTGCAGCCCGATGCTCTGCCTCCAAGCCACACCTCCAGGAGGCTGTTTTCCCAACTTCACTGCTGACAACCCCCTTCTGACAGTATTTTCCTTAAGGCATTCTCAAGGAGGCCTCCGACTTCTCAAGGCACCATTTCTTTAAAGCGCCTTTGCAAATCTCTCCTGACCCGCTGTGTGTTGATTTTACAGCTTCCTTTTAGAGGTAGTCTCATTTGTGAATTTTCACCTGCACAGCTGTCACGATGCTTATATTCTTGGGGACGGTCTTTTTCATCCCCTTGCACTACCCTTGTATCCTCCCGTATGTAGAACAAAGCACCTTCGCTGATTGCCAAACTGGAACTTCCTGGCAGAAAGGCTTAAAAAATTGTTTGTTTCAGTAAGTTAACAAAAGCTAGTCCGTGTAGGAGAAGAAAAATTGACATTACTCACCACTGACAAATAAAAACTGCTCCCAGCTCTGCGTTACTGCCTACAGCAATAAAAGCCTGGCAGGGGATTCAGCAAAAACACTTCCCAGTGCTCATCCATTTAACACTAAAAACCTCAGTGCCATCAGCACTGCATTACTTTCAACTGCGAGACACGGAACTTGAGGCTCAGAAGACTAAGCAACCAGGCCAGGGCCACAGCAAGCACCACGCTGGCTAGAAAGCTGGATCTGCCCAACTCAAAGTCTGACTCAGCAGGCAAACTGCACCCTTCCAGCATCTCTGCAAAAGACAGGTGGTTTCAGAGACGTACACATCCCTCCCAGCACCCTGCATTCGGCATATCTGTTTTTTAGGCTGAAAAACCGGATGGCAGCGAGAACCTTCTTCAAGACTAATCAACAATTCTACTGCTGCTTTTTCCTAGTTTAGAGAAAACAGTGGCTACTATCGTGTTTGGGTAGACTTAGTTTTCTTCTATTGAACTGTAGGCCAATTAGAGTCCCCATTTCTCATTATCTTTCTTCAAATAATTTTTTGCAGCTAGAAAAGCAAACCCTTCACTAAAGTAGGTTTCACATGGCAAGGAAATCACAGCAAATAAAATGATTTTAAATGGAGGCCATTAACAATAATAGATCACAAATGCCACACCCACCCTCTGTGCACAAAACTGGAGATGAATAAGAAAAAAAGGATTCCAAACAATTGGAAATTTAACTAGGAAATAGTTACTTAAACACTAAAAAACAATACAACTAAAGAAAAATCACATAATCATTTAATTGCTAAGCACATACATATTTTTACAAGCATAAAAATTACATTATTTGAAGCTGATATAACCACATAACTTAAAAATCCAAGTCAGTCAACTAAAACCTATGAGAAACAAAGTCAGTGAATTGATAGTTGACAAATTTAAAAATCTGTAACTACCTACAATTCTTTTTTCTTTTTTCTTTTTTTTCTTTTTTTTTTTTGAGACAGAGTCTTACTCTTTTTGCCCAGGCTGGAGTGCACTGGTGCGATCTCAGCTCACTGCAACCTCTGCCTCCCAGGTTCAAGTGATTCTGCAGCTTCAGCCTCCTGAGTAGCTGGGATTACAGGCACCCACCACCACGTCTGGCTATTTTTTTTTGTATTTTTATTAGAGACGGGGTTTCACCACGTTTGGCCACACTGGTCTTGAACTCCTGACCTCAGGTGAACCACCTGCCTCGGCCTCCCAAAGTGCTGGGATTACAGGTGTTAGCCACTGCACTCGGCCCGCTACCTACAATTCTTAAAAGCACAAAACAAACAACTCAAGTAGCTAGATGTTAACTACGGAAGAAATGTGCTGGCCTTCCCTTCACTCAGATGTGTGAGAGCCTGGAGTGCACCAGGGAGTGTGCTGGGCGGAACACGGGAGGCACACACATGTGTCTGCACGGGTGATGTCCCCACAGGGCAGACCCACACGCAGCATATGTGTGCCACTGCAGAGCAGCGTATGTATCCCACTGCAGAGTGGCGTATGTGTGCCACTGCAGAGCAGCCTACATATCCCACTGCAGAGCAGTGTATGTGTGCCACTACAGAGCAGCGTATGTATCCCACTGCAGAGTGGCGTATGTGTGCCACTGCAGAGCAGCCTACATATCCCACTGCAGAGCGGCGTATGTGTGCCACTGCAGAGCACCTGGCTTCTGTTCCAAGACGTGAACCCATCTGAGGGCTTCTGAGGAGAGGATGACATGTTGGGGAAGGATCAGTCTGGCTGCTGTGTTATGACAAGGGGAAGGGCTCGCAGAAGTCGGTGGGCAGACTAGTCAGTGCCAGCGACATTCCAGGGAGGGACCAAGGCGGTATGGCCAGGTGGTGGCACAGGAGGGACAGGAAGAAGCAGATGTGGAACATATTTCTTTTTTTTTTTTTCTTTTACATTTTTTGAGACGGAGTCTTGCTCTGTCATTCAGGCTGGAAAGCAGTGGCACAATCTCGGTTCACTATAACATCTGCTTTCCGTGTTCAAGCTATTCTCAAGACTACAGGCACCCACCACCATGCCCAGCTAGTTTTTGTATTTTTATTAGAGACAGGGTTTCACCATGTTGGCCAGGCTGGTCTCGAACTTCTGACCTCAGGTGATCCACCTGCCTTGACCTCCCAAAGTTCTGGGATTACAGGCATGAGCCACCGTGCCCGGACTGTGGAACATATTTCTAAAACCTGTTCCAAGGACGTAGTATGAAGAGAGGAGAGGAATCTGAGGCTTCCAACCTGAGCAGCCACCTGGGAGGCTGGAGGTGCCACGTAGATGGAAGGACTTGAGGAATGAAGATGGGGAGACACTGTGTCCCTGAATAAGCTTCAATATTGTGAAAAATGTCAATTATCCCTAACTCAATCCATGAGGTGTTCTTATTTGTTTTTGGGGTTTTATGTTTGTCCAAGTTTACACAGAATAATAACTATTAATTTTTTTTAAAGTAAAGCTAGACTCTGTACCTTACTCTCAAGATGAAATAAATTCCAGTTGGATCCAAAGACGTAAATGGAAAATAAAGAAAAAATAGGTAGGGCACGTTGGCTCATGCCTGTAATCCCAGCACTTTGGGAGGCTGAGGCGGGTGGAACATAAGGTCAGGAGTTCAAGACCAGTCTGACCAACATGATGATACCCCGCCTCTATTAAAAATACAAAAAAACTAGCCGGGCGTGGTGGCAGGCACCTGTAATCCCAGCTACTCGGGAGGCTGAGGCAGAGAACTGCTCGAACCCAGGAGGCAGAGGTTGCAGTGAGCTGAGATTGTGCTACTGCACTCCAGCCTGGGTGACAGAGTGAGACTTTGTCTCAAAAAAAAAAAAAAAAAAAAAAAAAGAAAAGAAAAAAGAAAAAATAGAAGTACCAGAGAAAATGTATACCTATATTTTTAATTTTGAAAAGCAAAGATTCTTTTCAGAATGACTCCAAATGTGAAGCCAGAGAAAAGAAAAATCAAAACCTATGAACAAATAACAAAGCAATATGTATACAAATAAGGCTAATGAACCATTTGGAAAAATGAAACTGAAATAAATGGAGAAAATACATTAATAGGCAATTAATGAAATAATTGTAAACATCTAGTAAACATAAAAAAAGAATGAAAATAAAAACATAATCTTGGCTGGATATGATAGCTCGTGCCTGTGGTCCCAGCTACTCGGGAGGCTGAGGCAAGAGGATGGCTTGAGCCCAGGAGGTCGAGGCTATCATCAGCCATGACTGCACCACTGCACTCTAGCCTGGGCGACAGAGCGAGACCCTGTCTCATAAAAAAAAATAAATAAATAAATAAAAGAAAAGAATTTAAAAAACCTTATTGATATCTTTTGTCTTAGAACTTTACTTTTTAAGAGTATTTACATAAGTGCCCAAATGAACAAAGATGTTCATTTCAGCATAATAATTAGGAATTTTCTACATCAGGAACATTACAACTCTTCCATCAATGAAGGACTGCTTAGGTAAATAATAACATATTGATAAAATGGAATATCAAACAGCTGACAAAAAGAATAAGGCAGAACAAAGATGCCAAAAACACACTGTTAATGAAAAATGCTAGCTATAAAACACAACGTACCTTCCTACGAACTCACTTTGGTACACTCATAGCAAAAATGAGCAACACTACCTAATTATTAACAGTAGTTATTTCTGGGAGATGGAATTCTTGAGGGCTGTTACTTTTCACTTTAGTTTTTCTATTTCTAGTAATTTTTCTTTGAACATTTAAACATTTTAAAAATAACTGTCAAATGTATAATCTGAAAAAAGATTAAAATGTCAATAACAAATATTCTAACCTAAATTATTTACTTTGAAATAATAAAAGAATTAGTTTATTGATGATGCAAATATCCTACCCCATCGATGCAGCAAACATCTGTAAAAATTTCCTAATATTTGGTTAATCCTGTTTTATAATTTGCTCTTTGATTTTCAATACTTAGCTGCTCTTACATACAAAAGCAAATGTGTTTTTAAGAAACAAGTTAAATTATTTTAGCTAAGATTAATATTGATTGATCTGTGATAGAGAATATAAACTTATGTGTAATCCAGTCACTTTTTTTTCTGATGGAGGATACCGTAACTCAGATATACTAAAAGATGATTAATAGTTAATTACATTTGAAAAATAAACTATATCCTTTCATAGCTGAATGAGTTAATCTAATTAATGATTTTCTTCCCTGTAAATTACCTTAAAAACTGATAGTAGACCTTCATCAACAGATCTGAGTAACAGTACAACAGAAAATGCAAGCAACTGATTAGTTGTTTCTTTTGAAAATTCATGTAAGTTGATCTCCCCGTGGCTTAAATGATCTCTTATGCGGGGACCCTCCTGATGGTTCAGGAAATCCCAGAGAAATTCCTTTCAGAAATTAAACAGAGAAAATGTTTTGTTAGTATCCGCAGCAGAGAGCCGTGCCTGGTGTTGCTAACAGAAGGAAACAGTGAATCCATCAAGTCCTCTGAAGCCCTGGGTGGGACCCTGCTGCGGAGAGCTGTTCTCCTACACCCACGGGACAGAAAAGGGAGCTGGAGAGACTGTGGGGGAAGGCAGAGCTGCCCAGGTGGTACTGGAGTCTCATCAAATTCCAGTCTTTCTTGTTTTCACAAGGGGTGCCTCACAATATCGCAGTTGGTTGTACACTTCCTGCAGTACAAAGAATACTATTCTCTTCTCTTCCTTTAGCTCTTGAGAACAATATCACATGGCGGGGGACATGCCGTGCACTATTGGAAGTAATATCATTCTCTCTTTTTCTGGATAGTAGGAACAATATCTCAGGCGGGATGGACAACCCCTGTGATATTGAGAGTAATATCATCCTCTCCCAACGAAGATATTAGGAACCATATCACAGGGGGCGTGTACACTTCTTCGATATTGGTAGCGATATCATCCTCTCCTCCCTGGGTATAGGAAACAATGTGACAGGCGGGGTGGACACCCCCCACGTCTTGGGGAGTAATTTCCCTCCCTGGATATTAGGATCCACGGTGGACACACAGTGTGTTTACGATTCTGAGAGTAATATCATCTCCCCGTCTAGACATTACGAACAGTATCAAAGACGGGTGTACACCCTCTGCAATATAGGGAGGAATATCATCCTCTCCCCGCCTGAATATTAGGAACAATATCAAAGGAATGTTTATGACCCCTGCGATATTGGGAGTAATATCATCCTCTCCCAGGTGGAAATTAGGAACAGTATCACTGGGGGCGTGCACACCCCTGCGATATTGAAAGTCGTATCATCCTCTCCCCTCTTGGATCATGGGAACAACATCCCTGGGGGGTGTACACTTTCTGCGATATTGAGAGTAACATCATCTTCTGTGCCTTGGAATATTCAGGATAATATCACAGGGGGAAGGGGTGTGTACATCTTCTGCAATATTGGGAATATTATCCTCTCTACCCGTGCAAATTCGGAAAGATATCACAGAGTGGGTGTTCACCTCCTGCAATATGGGGATTAATACCGTCTTCTCCCCTTCGGGATATCAGGAAGACTATCACACAGGGGTGTACAGTGTCTGTGATACTGGGAGTAATATCAGCCTCTCGGCCTTGAGATATTGAGAAGAATGTCACAGGGTGGATGTACATCCCCTGCCATATTTGGAGTAATATCAACCGCTCCCCTCCATGGATATTTGGAACAGTATCCCAGGCTGAGTGTACGCCTCCTGCTCGACGGGGAGTAATATCATCCTCTCCCTCCCAGGATATTAATTACAATATCACTGGGCGGGTGAACACAGCCTGCAAATTATTATCATCCTCTCCCCCTCCGGATACTAGGAACAATATCGCAGAAGAGCTGTGCCCTCCCTGTGATATTGGGAGTAATATAATACACACTTTCCATGAATATTAGGAGCAGTATCACCGGGTGGCTGTCCATTCATTGCTATGTTTGGAGTCATGTCATACTCTACCCCCGTTTATATTAGGATCAGTGTCACGTGGTGAGTGTACACCTACTGCGATATTAAAACTAAAATCATGCTCTCCGTCCCTGGATATTAGGAACAGCATCACAGGTAGGTGTACACCCCCTGCGGTATTAGGAGTAATAATATAATTAATTATTAAACATCAATGATCGATTTTAATAATTATCAATGATACTATTAATTAATAGGAATCCATTTATTAATTATGGATAATTATTTTAAATATATGATTATGCATACTTAAAATTATTAACATTAATCACATTTAACAATATTATTAGTCCTTAATATTAATTATTATTTTATTACCAGCATCACTTAGTATTGATTTAAGTAACATTATTGCTGATATCATTATTTTATTATTAACAGTGATATTACTATTAATTATTAATACTAATCGTTAACATTTTTAACCAGTATTAATTTTTACTATCTTTATTGTGATTATTAACATCGATGATTACTCTTAATTTTTCTTATATTTATTAATATTAATAATTAATAGACTTGTTCCTGATATCCGGTGGGGAGAGGATATTACTCCCAATATCGAAGAAAGTATACACCCCTCTATGATGTTATTCCTAATAGCCAGGGGGTAGAGGATGACATTATTGAAACTATCGCAGTGGGTGTACAACCCTTCGGTCATCTCGTTCCTTATATCCTGAGTGGGAGAGGATGATAGGACTCCAAATATCGCAGAGGGCGTAGTCCTCCCCCGTGATATTGTCCCTAACATCCAAAGGTGGAAAGGATGATATTTCTTCCAATTTCGCAGGGGGTGTACACCACCCCTGTGATATGGTTCCTAATATCCAGGAGGCGAGAGGATGATATTAGTTTCAATATTGCAGGAGGTGTACACTCCCTAGTGATATTGTTCTTAATATCCAGAGACGGAGAGGACTATAACTCCCAATAGAGCAGAGGGTGTACACCCTTCTGTGACATTGTTCCTAATAGCCAGCGGGGGAGAGGAAGATATTACCCCCAATATCACAAGGGGGTGTATACCTTATATCCTGGAAGGGAGACGATGATACTAGTGGCAATATCGTAGGGGGTGTACACACCCACTGTGATATTGTTCCGAATATCCAGAGAAAGAGGAAATGATATGACTCCCAATATCACAGGAGGTGTACATCCTCCTGTGATATTGTTTCTTATATTCAGGGGGAGAGGATGATATTACTCTCAATATCACAGGGGTTGTACACACCTCCTGCGGTATTGTTCTTAGTATCCCGAAGGGGAGAGCATAATATTACTCTCAATATGGCAGGGGGTGTACACCTCCTTTGTAATATTGTTCTGAATATCCATGATGGAAGAGGATGATATGACTCCCAATATCACAAGAAGTGTACAGCCGAGGCCGGGTGCGGTGGCTCACGCCTCTCATCCCAGCACTTGGGGAGGCCAAGACGGGCGGATCACGAGGTCAGGAGATCGAGACCATCCTGGCTAACACGGTGAAACCGCGTCTCTACTAAAAAATACAAAAAACTAGCTGGGCGAGGTGGTGGGCGCCTGTAGTCCCAGCTACTCGGGAGGCTGAGGCAGGAGAATGGTGTAAACCCGGGAGGCAGAGCTTGCAGTGAGCCGAGATCCCACCACTGCACTCCAGCCTGGGCAACAGAGCTAGACTCCGTCTCAAAAAAAAAAAAAAAAAAAGAAGTGTACAGCTGCCTGTGATATAGTTCCTAACATCTAGGTGGGGAGAGGATGATATTACTGCCCATATCACACGAGTTGTAAAACCACTTCAATATTTTGCCTACAATCCTGAGGGGAGAGGGTGATATTGCTCCAAATATCGAAGAAAGCTTACACCCCCCATGACACTATGCCCAATATCCACGTTGGAAGATGAAGACATTACGCCCAATATCGCAGGGGATGTACACCCACCTTGGGAAATTGTTCCTTATATCGAGAGGGGGAGAAGATGCTATTGCTCCCAATAACACAGGGGCTGCAGAGGTACACCCCTCCTGTGATATTGTTCTTAATATCCTAGGGAAGAGAGGAGGATACTACACCCAATATCTCAGGGTGTGTACACCCACCCAGTGATATTGTTCTTAATGTACTCCACCTCCCACCACCAGGGATATCAGTCCTAATATCCAGGGGAAGAGAGGATAACATTATGCCCAATATCGCAGGGGAGTGTACACACCCTCTGTGATGTTGTTCCTAGTATCCAAAGGTAGAGACGATGATATTACTGGCCATATCGCAGGGGGTGTACACCCTTCTATGATACTGTTTTTGACATTCAATAGGGGAGAGGACAACATTAATCCCAATATCACAGAAGGTGTACAGACCCCGGTGATGTAGACCCTAATGTACAGGGGAAAGAGAAGAATATTGCTCTCAATATCCCAGGGGCTGTAACCACCCTGCTCCCCGTATATTGTTCCTAATATGCAGTGGGGTGGAGGCTCGTAGTACTCCCAATATCCCAGAAGGTGCACACACACCTGTGATAGAGTTCCTAATATCCAGCGGGAAAGAGGCTGATTTTACTTTCGATATCACGGTGGGTGTACACAGCCCCCAAACCCGGGGTATCATTCCTAATATCCAGGTGGGAAGAAGATGACATGGCTAACAATATCGAAGTGGGTGGACACTTCTTCAGTGATATGGTTCCTGATATCCAGGAGGTGAGTGGATATTATTCCCAATAAAGTAGGAACCGTTCAGTCACCCTGGGATTTTGTCCTTAATAACCACAAGGGAGAGGTGATATTACTACCAATATTGCAAGGGGTGTACACGCCTCCTGTGATACTGTTTCTTATATCCAGGAAAGGAGAAGATGGTATTAGTACCAATATTGAAGGGATGGACAGCCCCCATGGGATATTGTTCTAAAGATGCAGGTTGAAAGAGGATGAGACTCCCTCCAATACAACAAGGGGTGTACACCCTGCCTGTGATATGAATCCGAAAACCTAGAAGAAGAGAGAATGACATTGCTTCCAAAAACACACGGGGTGTACACCCACCCTGTGATATTGTTCCTGTCATCTAAAGGAAGAGATGATGATACTACTACCCCTACCGGAGAAGGTACACACCCCCCTGTGATATTGTTCCTCATAACTTGGGGGAAGAGCATGATATTACTTCCAGTATGACAGTGGCTTCACACCCAGTCTGTGATATTGTTCCTAATTTCCAGTAGATAAAGTATGATGTTCCTGCCAAGAGAGTAGTGGGTGTACAGCCGCCCTGTGATATGTCTCTGAATATTCAGGGAAAAATAGGAAGACATTACACCAAATCTCCGAAAAAGTGTACACCCATTGTGTGATATGGTTCCTAATATCGGGAGGTGCAGAGGATGGTAATCTTTCTCCCATCGCAGGCTGTGTACACATAACCCGTGAAATTGTTCCTAATATCATGAACAAAAGAGACTGCTAATAATGGACACACATTTCAGGGGGGAATAATTATTAAAATCCACATCATAAAGGGGAGTAACAGCGATCCTCTCTCTCCCCCTCACTGTTACAATCCACATCGCAGGGGGTGAGAAACCCCCCACGATATGGGGAGTAATAGCATCCCCCTCTCTCCCCCTGGCCTTATATAAGGAGGCTGGCCTTATATAAGTGCCCCCCAATGCCATCGCAGGCTTTAATGTATTCACTTAAAGTTTTTTCCTCATTTAGATCTGCCATTCCCTTAATAGTTCTAATTGCTGCCTGACATTCTGTATTAGCATTTTCATGAGCAAGCAGCTGAACGATCACTTTCTTGGCATGAGAATTGGAAATAGCCTTTTGAGCCGCATCCTGCAAACGGGCGATAGAATCAGGATAAGGCTCCCTTGGACCCTGTTGAAATGTGTGAAAAGAAGGATAAGCAGTAGCAGGGTCGTGAATTTTTTCCCAGGCTCTTAGGCATGTAGTTCTGAGCTGATCAACAGCCTCATCACCCATTACCATCTGTTGATTTAGAGTACCCATGCCTGTCCGATTCCAAGCAATTGATCAGGTGTGATATTAACGGGACGTTGGGCTTGAGCATTTCTGCCTGATTTGTTGCTTCATCCGTCCACCAGGTTTTCAATTGGAGAAATTCAGAGGGGGACAGGGTGGATCGGGCTAATGCTCCCAATCCATACGTATTCAACGTCTGTTATAAGCCACACATTGTAACAAGGAATGAACATAAGGGGAATTTGGCCCATATTGTCCAATTGCTTGCTTTAAGTCTTTTAATATTTTAAAAGGAAATGGCTCCCAGCATGCTTGAGTAAGTTCTCTGGCCTCCTCAGCTGGTGAAATAATTACCAGAAACTGCCAAGCATTCAAATCCCCCATTTCTTGTGCCTGGCGAATGGATGCCTGGATTGTCCCTGTGCTATAATTTATATTTGGACCCGCTTGCAGCACTCCTCTACCATAATTGACAGGTGGGCAAGCCTAGATCATTCCCTCATCCTAATTGGCTGTTGGACAAGCCTGAAGCTTCCCTTCTCCATAGTTACTGGCAGGGCCTGCAACAATGGGAGCGGCAAGGCGCGGGTCTCAGGCTCCCCTTCCAAATATTCACAAGGCTGGCCTGGGGGTGGCCATTCCAGACCTTCCCCTAAAGGTGCAGTAGGTGGCACAGTTTCTTTTATAAGTCTTTGGAGATTAGCATACATACCTTCCCGTTTCTCACCCTTTTTTAAACGAGACTGTCATAGTTCACTTAGCTGATAATTAGACTCCTGATTATTCAACTTTGCTATGTCATCCTGAAAATCCTCCTCCTCCTCCTCAGTGTGGAAGGGCTCCAGGGCTGTTTTAATTGCAGACCACACAGACCAAGCAGAGACGGGAATATCGCGGCCCTCTTGTTGTGCTCGTTTTAAGTCTGATCTCACCTTGTCCCAATCTTCTACATTCATGGTTCCATACTCCGGGAACCAAGGAGAATACTTGTCTACCAGGCGGAACAAAGATGTGAGATTTTGGGTACTGACAATTACCCCTCCGCGGCGCAGTAACTGCTGCACAAGGCTTAAGTAATTAGCGAACTTACTCTCAGCTCCACCCACATTTTCCCGAGGTTTCCCTGGAATTCCCCGAGCGCCCTCCTTACCCTAGAGCTTGAAGTGAAAACCTACTCGAGAGTCCTTTGTCGGTCGTCCTCAGCTTTCCACGCTCTGGTGTTCCTTCACTGGATTATTTGTAGAGATTACGGGGAGCCCTGCGTTGGGCACCAGAGACAGCCTGGGCAACCGAGGGAGACCCCCGTTTCTACAAAAAAAAAAAATAGCTAGGTGTGGTGTCACTCGCCTGTAATCTCAGTTACTCCATGAGAAGTCAGACAAAACCTGCCACCAGAGACTGATTTTCTTCTAAAATGCTTTCTCCAAAATATTTTTAAAACAAAAGGGGGAAATTGGAAAGGAAAATATTTTGGGCCCCGCAAATCACTAAGATAAAGGGAAAAATCAATCTGGGAACTGCTTAGGGCAAACCTGCCTCCCATTCTATTCAAAGTCATCCGCTGCTGGCTAAGAAGAATGCATATCTTATTGCCTCCTTTGGAAAGGCTCATCAGAAACTCAGAAGAATGCAACCGTTCCTCTCTCACCTACCTGTGACCTGGAAGCCCCCTCCTGGCTTCGAGTTGACCCACTTTTGCTTCAGGTTGTACCGGATCAAACCAGTGTTCATCTTACATATGTTGATTGATGTCTCCTGTCTCCCTAAAATGTGTAAAACCGTCAGATACAGTCAGTTTCTCTTCCGAGGTTCGACAAGTTAACGTTCTTGTGTTTTGTTCTCGAACTCAACTTTCTTGTTCTCCATGTCTCCTTGCCCTTAGTTACTGTAAACAACCTTCCCCCCATCAGTTCTAATCAATAACTCACATCTGTTCCCTTGGTTACCTGCTCTGCACCCATTTCTCCCTTTCAAACCACACGTCCCACCTGTAACTCACGACTCCCTTCCTCCTTCCTTATTTGGGAAAGTATTCACAAATAGCCAACCGGGTCAGTTTAGATCTTGAGGTCTGGCCCCAGCCCATGCCAGAGGTAGGGATTGCATTAGGAATAAAAACCCCTGCTTTCCTTTGTTCCGTGTGCTCTTGCGATTGTGATTGATGCGAGCAGTACGCTTCCGCAGAGGTAAATTGCGTTGCTGAGAAAACTTTTGCTTAAGTGCTGGTTTCACTTTGCGTCACCGAGCATTATCTCCAACAAAACCCAGCTGTGCTCTGACCACCTTGGGCAACTGTCATCAGGACATCCTGAGGCTGTGTCATGCACAAGCATCCCCAACCTTGGCAAAATAAACTTTCTAAATACTCTTTTCCCCAAATGCTCAGGGAGACTGATTTGAATAATCATAAAACTCCGAGGCTGCACTCCAGCCTGGGCGACAGAGCAAGACTCTGTTTCAGAAATAATAAAATAAAATAAAATGAAATAAAATAAAATAAAATAAAAATCAAATCTCCGGTCTCCCGCACAGCCGACTCTGCGTGAATTACTCCTTCTCTATTGCTATTCCCCCCCGTCTTGAGAAACCGGCTCTGTCTAGGTAGCGGGCAAGGTGAACCCACTGGGCAGTTACAGAATTGCCATTATATTGCTTGCAATTTTATATCTTATTACGCAAAATAGCTATAATCTTGTATACAAGGTTAAATGCGAATGTGCTCCTTGCGTGGTCAGATCCCAGCGCAGGAAGGACGCACCCCCTATAAACCGCTAGGCCAAAACGGTCATTCTGGCCACATCCAGCCTCACGTGAGATCGCAATCTCCTGTCACTCAGGGCCTGAGGGGGCGGGGCCTGAAGCCCCATACAATCAGGGGCGCTGGGGTGGGGACCCGTCAATCAGGCGCGCCGCCGGAAAGGAGAGGGCGGCTTCCGGGATCCGGCTGGCGGGCGCTTTGTCTGGCCTTCGTCACCGTAGGCTCTTCCTGTGAGTCTCCGCTGCTACTTCCTGGTTCTGGGAGGCCCGGTGGCTCTGCAGCAGCCTCGGCCACCCTGTGACCTGCGGGTATTGGGACATCCCTAGCTGACGCCGGGACACCCGGGAAGCCGAGGAACGGTGAGTGGACTGCGCCTGGCTTCCCGAAGTGGGTAAAAGGGCTGGGTGAAACCTGCTGGAACCAGCCATCGGCTGCGGAACCTGCGGACCGAGTCGCCGGGCGCAGCCGGGCCTCAGTCCCCTTCTGCGCAGGGCCGGGCGGCGCGGGCAGCGGGACCCCTGCGTCCTGTCTGTACCTGCGGGCGCCACTTCCGCCGGCCGGAGCCCTCTCCGGAAGCCCGCGCCTCCCCCACCCAGGTAGTGCGGTGACCACGGGAGGGTGATCCGGGAGAGCCCGACCCGGTGTGCGGGATTCCAGCGTGGGAGGAGCTGTGGTTCATGGAGCTTCCAGTCCCACCATTCTCCCCCTAAAACTAACCTGAGGCTTTGTTAAAACGTTAAACGGCGCGTTTGAGCAAACGCGATTCATAAACGGGTACCGCAGTCATGGTTTGTGGTTTGGGGTTCACGGGAGGGGCGTAAATGAGAGGCTTTGATAAGGTGAATGAGGAAGCAAACCATACATATATATACACACACATATACACATATATATATATACACATACGTCCACATATATATAATTTCTTTTTTTTTTTTGAGACAGAGTCTCACCCTGTCGCCAGGCTGGAGTGCAATGGTGCAGTCTCAGCTCACTGCAACCTCTGACTCCCGGGTTCAAGCGATTCTCCTGCCTCAGCCTCCCAAGTAGCTGGGCTTATAGGCGCCACCACCACGTCCAGCTAATTTTTGTATGTTGAGACAGGGTTTCGCCATGTTGGCTAGGTTGGTTTCGAACTCCTGACCTTAACTGATCACACTCCTCGGCCTCCTAAAGCGACGGGATTACAGGCGTGAGGCACCTTGACCAAAATATTTTTCTGTTTCCAAACATTTTACATGAGAGGAAAGCGGAGAATAAATCATGACACTCTACTGTAAAAAAAATCTTTGTGCCTCTCTTCTTTTCATCTTTCCTAAGTGTACATATTACCAAAATGTCTTTAGGTTGAGGTCCCCCCGTGAAAACTTGACAGGGTGTTGTGTCCTCACCCACTCTCCTGTCTTTTCCTAGTCCTGGCATTTTAGAACTGTCTGGGGATGACCCAGGATACCCACAGTGGCCATGTCTATTGGAGGCTCTAGTGAGTATCAGCCTCTGCGTCATCTCATCCCCAAGGACAGCCTGAGGTAGGGGGTAGAGTCTCTCAGGGGAGCAGCTGGATGCTCTTGGCCTTAGAGGAATCTCCTGGTATAGTTTCATCTAAAATGGTGACCCCTTAGGGTCATTAAAATTTTAGGACATTAAAATTAATGGACAATACAATGTAATGTCATGACCTACAATGTTAGGTCATTAAAATTATTCCTCCAGGCTGAGTTTTTATTCCTCGAAGACACATTGATGGTTTGCCAATTGGATGCTGATATTGAGAGGAAAAGGCAGAAATGATTTCTGCTCTCTAGCTTGTCTCAGACTTGTGAAGAGAGAAAAACCGTCCCAAAGGACAAGGAAAACCCACCCCAGAGAGGATGTGCAAGAACCTGAATATTAAAATGCACTTAAGGCACACAGGAGGACAAAGAGCAGTGCCAGTGCCTCGTAGGTGGTCATTGAGTACTTTACTGAACAGGATGGGTGTCCTAAGGGATAGAATGGCCTGCCGTGACACTTAGAAAGGTCTGCGTTGGAGTCAGCACTGCCTCTCCCTGAGTTTGTTACCTTGAAAAGGCTTGTCCGCTATTTGAGTTTCAGGTTTTCACTGACTGTATGATACATTTTGTCAGTACAGCTTGAAAGATAAAAATACTATTTCCAAAGAGGCTAGGTGAAATGATTATTTCGTTTGCTAAAAATTCGTATTTATTTCTTCCCCAGAGTGAGTGTAGTAAGTTTTAAAGGTCTGTTCTTTTTAAGGGTAATTTCAAATGGAATTGTAGGACTTAGCTTTGTAAATGCTATTGGTGAAATAAAAGTGTGATAGATAAATTGATGATTTATAAAGATTCACCAAAATGTCAGTTCCCCTCTTGTAGCTTGGTGAAGAATTTATGACAGTGGACACATGTGTATCCTCTTATCTGGGTGTCTGAGTGTTTTTTGTTTTTTGGAGATGCTGTCTTGCTCTGTAGCCTGGCTAGAGTGCAGTGGCGCCATCTCTGCTTACTGCAACCTCTGCCTCCCGAGTTCAAGTGATTCTCCTGTGTCAGCCTCCCGAGTAACTGAGATTATAGGTGCCCACCACCACACCCAGCTAATTTTCATATTTTTAGTAAACACAGGGTTTTAGGCCTAGCACGGTGGCTTATGCCTGTAATCCCAGCCCTTTGGGAGGTCAGGAGTTCCAGAGCAGCCTGGCCCACATGGTGAAACCCTGTCTCTACTAAAAAATACAAAAAACTTAGCTGAGCGTGGTGGCAGGCACCTGTAATCCCAGCTACTTGGGAGGCTGAGGCAAGAGAATTGCTTGAACCTGGGAGGTGGAGGTTGCAATGAGCCAAGATCTTGCCACTGCACCCCAGCCCAAGGGACAATGTGAGACTCCAACTCAATAAACAACAAAAAGATGGGATTTTTGCCACGTTGGCCAGGCTGGTCTCAACCTCCTGACCTCAGGTGATCCCCCGCCTCAGCCTCCCAAGGTGCTGGGATTACAGGCGTGAGCCACCACGCCTGGCCCACTGTATTTTCTTTTTATTCCCTAAATTTTAATATATTTGTTCCTTTATCACTTTTTTCTTACATAAAAAAAATTCTGCCTAATCCTTCGTAAAAAAAAATCTTCCTGTGACTTCTGAAAGTGTTCTAGTTTTATCTTTTGTATTTGAATATATAATATTATTGTTCATGGAATAGAGAAGAATGCAATGCATTTTCCCAAGTAGATGCCAGCCTGGTTTGCCTCATATTTTAAAGTGCATGTAATTTCTTTTTCTATTCTACGGTGCCTACTCTATCATTCCTCAACTTTCCATATAAATGCTGGGTCATTAAGACTTTTCCCCTTGGTCTGCTTGCTCATCTCTCTGCTAACACTGTGTTGTCCTGAATATTTTTGTTTGAAAATCTTAGAAGTTAGACAAGCCATCACTCTTAGATGACTAAAAATCATTACAGAGTTGTCATTTTTACTATGTATGAAAGAGTTTTAATTTTTTTTTTGAGACGGAGTCTCACGCTGTTGCCCAGGCTGGAGTGCAGTGGCGCGATCTCGGCTCACTGCAAGCTCCGCCTCCTGGGTTCACGCCATTCTCCTGCCTCAGCCTCCTGAGTAGCTAGGACTACGGCGCCCGCCACCGCGCCCGGCTATTGTTGTATTTTTAGTAGAGACGGGGTTTCCTGTGGTCTCGATCTCCTGACCTTGTGATCCGCCCGCCTCGGCCTCCCAAAGTGCTGGGATTACAGGCTTGAGCCACCGCGCCCGGCCGAAAGAGTAGTTTTTCTTGCCTAAAACCACCTGATTTGGGAATTTGTGTTTTCATAGGAATGGCATCTGGAAGTGGTGACATTCATGTCATTTTAAAAAACATGTGTATTTCCTTTTCTTTTCTGCCTTGACATTGTGCAATAGAAATTTGAAAAATTGTTGTATTAGTATTGTTAAATATGTTATTGTTTTATTTGCTACTCAATTAAATTTAATAAGCCTATTCTCTTGGTGTAATCACATGGAATGGGCTCACCTTCCCTGTTAACAAGTGACAGCACATGTAAAATATTGTCTACCAGGGAAACTCATTGAACACTTAGTGTTCAGACTCTGTTTTTGTTTCCGGTTCCCTAAGCACCACTGCAGTGACACAAAATAATAGGCCTTCAGCAGAAGTAGTTTGGGCAAATATATTGCATAAGCCATTTAGATGCAGTGAGTCATTCTTATTACTTGGATTGGTGGAATCCCTTCCAAAATGTAAGTTCCTAATACAAAGATTGAACTTTGTGGGCAGGCATTTTTAAGAATTAGTAGTCTCAGGACCGATAATATTAACTCACTTATGCACATCAGGTAGGACTTTAGTATGACAGATACTAGAAATGTACAAAGTGAAGTTAAAAGGTAGCTCCTAGCAGCACATCTTACTCCCTGGATTCTCTAATGAGATGGGTGTTTCTACTTTGCTGTTGCCTTTTTGAATAGTTTAATTCTAGCATTAGTACTGCTGTGTGGGAGGGAGTATGTGTGAACAGAGTAAGAGTTGTGAAAATCAAGTCATAAAATAAGTGCTTGGAAATTTGAGAATCATGTAAACAGCTTATGGATTGAGTATAGATTCCCAGTGCTCTTAGTCTCACTCTTCCTTCTATCCACATGTGTGGAATGTTCTAGGACTCCGTGGCTTTTGAGGATGTGGCTGTGAACTTTAGCCAGCAGGAATGGGCTTTGCTAGATTCTTCTCAGAAGAATCTCTACAGAGAAGTGATGCAGGAAACCTGCAGGAACCTGGCTTCTGTAGGTGAGAATGACAACACATTTCACTTAATTACAGAAGTATTTCCCTATCATCAGTGCTATTTGTGATCGGGAATGGGGCAAGTGAATGATTTGGTGAATAAATCAAGCATGGGCACTGTGTACAATGAACATGAAATCTAGTAATGTTTCTATACTTTGAAATAATTCATGATAATTTTGTGCATCTGCATTTTAGGAAAAAACGGAAAGACCATAATATTGAAGATCACTTCAAAAAACATGGGAAAGATACAACATAATTTGCACTGAGAAGAGGAAATAAAGTCCTCTGAAGGAATCTTAGCATGTCATGAATTTAAAAACAAGCAACCAAAGCAAATAAGAGTCACTTGAAATTCATTTCCTTTTAGAAAAATTTCACCCAAAATGTAACGTACGTCAGTGTAGCAGTGAGTGTTTGGAAAACAGTTTACTTGAAAATAGTATTACAAAATTGTGTATATGAATGTTACTATTTTGGTCATAGCCATGCAGGTGGTAGCTGTGTTTTCAGTAGTAGCCCATTTACTTTCAAGTAATTCAGTCATGACACAAAACCAAAAACAAAACAAAAATGCATTTTCCCTGGTATTGGTAGCAGTGTAAGTCGAAGACTTATGAGTAGAAAGTTATTAAACCAACCAATAATGTACTTGTCATTTTTTTTTACAGAAATCATATGGCACAGAGACTGCGTGAAAGCAAAGAAGGTAGTCAGTATGGACAAGTTGTCAGCCTCATTCCAAATCTTGATCTGAATGAGAACATTTCTACTGGATTAAAACAATGTGAATGCAGTATTTGTGGAAAAGTCTTTGTACATCATTCCCTCCTTAACAGGCACATCCTAGCTCACTCAGGATACAAACCATATGGAGAGAAGCAATATAAATGTGAACAGTGTGGGAAACTCTTCGTTTCTGTTCTGGGTGTTAGAAGACACAGGATAATGCACAGTGGAAATCCAGTTATAAATGTACGATATGTGGGAAAGCTTTTCATTTTCTCAAGTCAGTTGAAAGACATCAGAGAACTCACACAGGAGAAAAATCCTATAAATGTAAACAATGTGGTAAAGCATTCACTGTTTCCGGTTCTTGTCTAATACATGGACGAACTCACACTGGAGAGAAACCCTACGAATGTAAGGAATGTGGGAAAACATTTTTTGTTCTTTTAAGATGCATGAAAGGACTCAATACTGGAGAAAGATGTACCAAATGTGATAGAGCCTTCAGCTGTTCCACTTCCCTTCATGACCATGGAAGCATTCATACTGGAGAGAGACCCTATGAATGTAAACAATGTGGCAAAGCCTTTAGTCGTTTGAGTTCCCTTTGTAACCATAGAAGTACTCATACTGGAGAGAAACCCTATGAATGTAAACAATGTGACCAAGCCTTCCGTCACCTCAGTTCCCTTCACCTCCACGAAAGAATTCATACTGGAGAAAAACCCTATGAATGTAAGACATGCGGTAAAGCCTACACTTGTTCCACTTACAATACTCGCCACTAAAGAAGTCATGATATAGAGGTTGGGTGTAGTGACTCAGCCTATAATCCCAGCACTTTGGGAGGCCAAGGTGTGTGTATTGCTTGAGCCCAGGAGTTCAGGAGTTCATAACCAGCCTGGATTAAAACAATGTGAAACCACTTGGGCATCGTGGTGAAACCCTGTCTCTACAAAAAATAAAATAATGCCGGGCCCGGTGGCTCACGCCAGCTACTTGGGAGGCTGAGGCAGGAGAATGGCGTGAACTCGGGAGGCGGAGCTTGCAGTGAGCCGAGATCGCAGCACTGTGCTCCAGCTTGGGCGACAGAGGCAGACTCCGTCTCAAAACAAAAACAAAGAAAACAATTAGCTGGGCATGGCGGCACATTTCAGTTGTCTTAGTTCTTTTTCAAGGACATAAAAGGCCACGGGGGGTTGGGGGAACCCCTGTGCATGCGGATCACGAGGTCAGGAGATGGAGACCATCCTGGCCAACATGGTGAAACCTCGTCTCTACTAAAAATACAAAAATAGCTGGGTGTGGTAGCATATGCTTGTAATCCCAGCTACTCAGGAGGCTGAGGCAGGACAATCACTTGAACCCAGGAGGCGGAGGTTGCAGGGAGCCGAGATTGTGCCACTGCACTCCAGCCTGGCGACAGAGTGAGACTCCATCTCAAAAATAAAGCCCCTTGAATATAAGGAATGTGGTAAAACATTTACTCTTTCCCATTCCCTCATAA